GCCGCTTCGCCGCGCGAAGTTCAACCCCGCGCAGTTCTTCGCGAGCGTTCGCGAGGCCCGACGCCGGCTCGCCGGGGAGCTCGCGCGGAGTACCTGCCCCCAGCTCAGCGGGCTCTTCGCGCCACGGATGGCGGTGCTGCTCTCCGCCGTGAGCGGGACCTCCACGGCGGGGAAAACCGCCCTGCACGTTCGCAGCACCATCCACGTGCTCTTCGTCGGGGATCCCGCGACGGGGAAGTCGCAGCTGCTGCGCTTTGCCGCCTCGGTCGCGCCGCGGAGCACCTCGACGACGGGGATGGGGAGCACCACCGCGGGGCTCACCGTCGCGGCGACGAAGGAGATGGGGGAGTTCGTCCTCGAACCGGGCGCGCTCGTCTTGAGCGATGGGGGGGTCTGCGTGATTGACGAGCTGCGGACCGTCTCCCCGGCCGATCGCGCCTCGCTGCACGAGGCGATGGAGCAGCAGACGATTTCGGTGGCGAAGGCGGGGTTGGTAACGCGGCTTCGGACCGCGTGTTCGGTGCTTTCCGCCTGCAACCCGCCGCCGAATCGACGGGGTTCACGCGCGACGGAGATCGGCGTCGGGGGGCCGCTGCTAAGTCGGTTCGACTTTATTTTTCTCCTCTGGGATCACCACCAGCGGGAGGTGGATGAGCGGATCGCCGAGCATGTGCTTTCCTGCAGCGTGGCGTACCGCCACCCGGATCCCCCGCTCGCGGCGGAGGAGTTGGCGGGATATTTGTGGTGGGTTCGAGGACAGTACGCACACGTCAACGGGCCGCTCTTATCCGACGCAGCAGCGGATCTTCTCGCGCGTTACTACGATATTCAACGGCGACGGGGCGCCACCCCTTCGCTGGAAGATGCCGTCCCCGTGACGATCCGCTTTTTGGAGTCCCTCGTCCGCATCACTCAGGCCCACGCGAAGCTGCACATGCAGACCACCTGCTCCATCCATGACGCCTCCATGGCGGTATTTTTGATGGAGCGAACCGCCTACAGCCTCAAGGTTCCGCTGCGAGCGCTGGGGGAGAACTTGTACAGCAGCTCGCTGGAATTGGATGAGGTCTTCTTACGGGGCGACCCGGAATCGCTGGAGCGGCAGGAGGCGGTGCTGGCGGCCTTGACATCGGTGGTGCTGCAGTATCACACGTACTCCCCGAGCCCGGAGTCGTCATCGTTTACCCACCCCACCGGCGTGGAGAACGCGAGTAAAGATTTCTTAGGGGCCCTGACCACCCACCTGGAGGCTGAGGACGACGGGGAGAAGGAGGGGAGTCTTCTGACGCAGCGCCGTGCCGCGCAGCTTCGCAGCATGGGCCGTCCTGCCGAGTCCGATTCCTCCCATATCGCGACGCAAGAAAGTATTCGTCAGTTGTCGCGAGAGGTGAGTATGCCGTTTACCACCCCATGCTCCCGCACGTGCTATCCGTCCGATTCCACGCACGCACGCACTACCTTTTCACTTTCTCTGAAAAAGCCACTGTTTTCGACCGAGGAGGACGCGGATCTGCGCCCGGCTTCACCGAAGGAGACCCACCATTTTGCCACGCCTGCGAAACTCAGCGAAGGGGCTTTGAATGAGGGGGCCGGAGTCAAGACCCGAGGGGGAAGCTCACGGGATCCCGCACGCGAACAACCCTTTGCGCGCGCGGAACCCCCGCAGGGTGATGCTTCGTCCAGGGATACGGCAGGGGATCTGGCGCTTCCCACCGCATCCGTAGACCGTCTGAATGGCTCTCAGGTGGATCAGGAGGGAAATCCACCCCGAACCAATATGAAGAGGAGGCGCACCGCCGAAGATATAATGCGAAGTCTGAGGTTTAAATTTTAGTACTTATGATTCTTGACGCCTTTCTGCGTACTTTTATTGATATGCCACTACTATTAATTGATGGGAATCCCCCTCGCTACCTTTTTTAAAAGGGAAGGGGAGAGGGGGGCGGAAACATCTATTGATACTTCTTTATATGATATTTTTTGCCCACAGTTTTACTTCTACACGGGTCGTGAAAGGAAACCTACGTTTTCCATCACTCAGGGGGAGGGGGGGAGGCATTTCTTTTTTTCCCCCATAAAAAAATCCTATATCTAGGAAGACCCACCACATAAGCAGTTAATCCGAACAGCCAAAAGGGGGGATCATTAACGCACCTAGCCCCC